TTCATGGCTGCTGTCTCCATCTGCAGTGATCATGGAGCCCAAGAAAGTAAAATCTGTCACTGGCTCCATATCTTCCCCTTATGTTTGCCAGGAGATGATGGGACCAATGGCCATGACCTTAGTTTTTTTGATGTTGAGCTTCAGACCATTTTTGCACTCTCCTTTTTCACTCTCATTAAAAGGTTCTTTAATTTCACTTTCTGCCATCAGAGTGGTATCATCTGAATGTCAGAGGTTGTTGATATTTCTTCCGGCAATCTTAATTCCATTTTGGGATTCCTCCAGTCGGCCTTTCGCGTGATGTATTTTGCATATCAGCTAAATAAGCAGGGAGACAACATACAGCCTTGTCGTACTCCTTTTCCAATTTTGAACTAATCAGTTGTTCCATATCCAGTTCTAACTGTTGCTTCCTGTCCCTCATGTAGATTTCTCAGGAGATAGATAAGGTGGTCAGGCATTCCCATTTCTTTAAGAACTTGCCATAGTTTGCTGGGGTCTACACAGTCAAAGGCTTTTGAGTAGTCAATGAAGCAGAAGTAGATGTTTTTCTGGAACTCTCTGGCTTTCTCCATAATCCAGCACATGTTAGCAATTTGGTCTCTAGTTCCTCTGCCCCTTCAAAATCCAGCATGTGAACATATGAATACTAAAAAGGATCAAGCAAACACCATACAAAAAAACTAAGCAAAACCAAAACACATTTGAAGCAGTTAGCTACAAAAATATGATGGATGTTGTTGGTTTTCCAGGCTGTTTTGCCAGTCTCTGTTGCCGGCATCTTCAGAGAATAGAAGTCAGAACTCTATCTGTGCTCTGTAACAGAATTCTGACATCTGTCCTCTGAAGATGCTGGCCACAGAGACTGGCGAAACGTTAGGAAGAAAAATCTTAAGAACACGGCCAAACAGCCCGGAAAACCCACAACAACCATCGGATCCTTGCCGTGAAAGCCTTCGAGAGTACAAAAATTCATTTTTAAAAACTCCACTCAGATAGCTAGTCACTGGCTTAGCTCATACAGCAAGACATTAGTGCCTGTGTTTCTTGAGTCAGAGGGGTCAAGATAGGTATGAAAAAAATTTAAATGCAAGATTTGAATGTAGACGTCTGTAGTTTTCATTACTGAGATTCATTTTGGAAGTAGTGGAGGCAATGCCAGTTTCAACAGGGGAGGTACCTGAGTGAGGATTTGCAGAGTGTCAGGAATATAACTCCTGTGTTTTGAGTTTTTACAATTGTCCCGCGCAGAGGGGCAAAACTAGTGCTGGAAATGGGCTTTAACCTCCTCCACCCATTCTCCTGATGCAAACTATTCTTTTCCCCACCCCAGCTTTGATTTAGTTGGTGCATGAAATGTGACACATATGCATATTATCCTTTCTCTCTAGGTGATTTTCAAAGTGCTGGACCCAGCTGTCAAAGTAGAGGATCCCTATAGCAGAGAAATCCAAGGTAGGGCTGCAGCAGGAAGAGCAAAAACGAGGAAAAGATGGATCATTGGAGCTATGTTTAAAGGACTATTGGGGGGGGATTTTATTAAGAATTAGGTGGAATCTTTAAATAGATGGCATCCAAAACAGCCTTGCCTAACATGTTGCTTTCCAGGCACTTAGTACTACAGTTCCCATCGGCCCAACTCAGCATTGGACCAGGAAGGAACCATGAGCACTGTAGTCCAAAAGATCTGGAGAATACCAATTTGATAAAAACCTATTTAAGAAGTGGGATGTACAATGTGAAGTGTTAGCTCAGGGAGGAACAAACAGGGGCATCGGTGATGGGGAATATTGCCGAGGACTAGGACAGTTATGAAGAGGAAGGTTTGAGGGACACATAGAGAGAGAGAGAGAGATTAGACCCATCACCTATGAAACCGTTTCCTTGATTAAGTATTTGCCTGTCAACAAATGAATTTTTAAATTTCATGTTAATACTGTATGTTCTGTGTTGTCAAAATATCAGTATGAGTGCCTGGGGAGTGAAACCACTGGCAGTTTAATAAAGGAAGGGCATCGCTCACAGCCACAAAGACAGCTGTCTATTAGTTATGTCTTTCGTTTGATCCAGCAAGATATTTTTATGCTAAACAGAAACTCATTCATATATATTCTGCTCTTTGCGTCAGTCAAACTGATTGAAGTTTGCTGCCCTGTTAAAACCTGGCTATGAACTTGCCCTGGTTTCGTGCCTAATAGTATTGTATTTGATATTTATAACTATTTTATAGCTACTATTCTCTATTAAGAAGACATTAAGAAGAGGTGGCAAGAATACACAGAAGAATTATATCAGAAACACCTGGATGTCCCGGACAACCCAGATAGTGTGGTTGCTGACCTTGAGCCAGACAACCTGGAGAGTGAAGTCAAGTGGGCCTTAGAAAGCCTGGCTAACAACAAGGCCAGTGGAGGTGATGGCATTCCAGTTGAACTATTCAAAATCTTAAAAGATGACGCTGTTAAAGTGCTACATTCAATATGCCAGCAAGTTTGGAAAACTCAACAGTGGCCAGGGGACTGGAAAAGATCAGTCTACATCCCAATCCCAAAGAAGGGCAGTGCCAAAGAATGCTCCTACTGCGGTACAATTGCACTCATTTCACATGCTAGCAAGGTTATGCTCAAAATCCTCCAAGGTAGGCCTCAGCAGTATGTGGACCGAGAACTCCCAGAAGTACAAGCTGGATTCCGAAGGGGCAGAGGAACTAGAGACCAAATTGCTAACATGCGCTGGATTATGGAGAAAGAGTTCGAGAAAAACCAGACTGGAGGAATCCCAAGCTGGAATTAAGATTGACGAAAGAAATATCAACAACCTCAGATATGCAGATGATGCCACTATGATGGGAGAAAGTGAGGAGGACTTAAGGAACCTTGTAATGAGAGTGAAAGAAGAGAGTCCAAAAAACGGTCTGAAGCTCAACATCAAAAAAATGAAGATCATGGCCACTGGTCCCATCACTTCCTGGCAAATAAAAGAGGAAGATATGGAGGCAGTGACAGATTTTACTTTCTTGGGCTCCATGATCACTGCAGATGGAGACAGCAGCCATGAAATTAAAAGACCCCTGCTTCTTGGGAGGAAAGTGATGACAAACCTTGACAACATCTTAAAAAGCAGAGACATCACCTTGC